TCTGGCTGCAATGTGCTTTGTCGTCGTTTATTTTAACACAGTTGTGGAGCTGGGATACTTCCTCAGTATCATGGAATGTCAACGAATACATACGTATTGTCAATTATGTAATGCAGCCTGCAGGCAATGCGGATAAGAATTACTGACGTTTGAGCCCTAATTGTTCACAGAAATTAGTTCAAGATCATGCATCCAACTTTATGCAAGTTGGGTTGAATATCTCTTTAGTCTTTAGGTACCGGGAGGGATAAATGAGGAAGTGTTTAAACATTTAAATATCTTTATTATTCATTTTAAAACATCAATGTTTTGAATGGTTCGACCACTATACAGTTTGCTTGATTCAACAAAAAAAAAGTTTCCGAACAAATAGTAGTTCGCATCCATTTTGATGCATAGCCCCGGAGTATGTGATATTCATTTCAGCCTACCCACCCCGGGTTTCACCAAGCCGCGGCCATTGAGCCAACCATCGCCTCAACTGCGCCACTCATCTTGGTGGGCGCGCCATTCGTCGTCTCCGCCGCGCCGCCGTCGCCGCCGTCGCCATGCTGCCGACCCCGTTCTGTGATTGCATTACCGGATGAAACTCAGATCTGTAATTAGCGGGAATGATGCATTATCGTCGGCTCATCCATCTTGGACGTACTTACAGTAATTACCGACGGCGGCGAGTCCCGCGCAGCGGCGACGAGGGTGGCGCAGCGACGACGACCGACGCGGCGGCGCTGTCGATGGTAGCCGCATATGGCAGAGTCACGGCGGACCTGCTGGGGATTGGCAGCGGCCAATACCAATCTTAAGAGACTGCCTGGGTATACGGATTTGTGATGTAAAGCGATATAATGCATGCAGGGAGGTGGCAGACTCGGGTAAAAGAGGCTGAAGATAAAGTGTTACAAGGGATGTTTCAAAGTTCGCGTTAGGAACCGAGACGAAAAAGAAACAGTAGGTAAATCAACACGGATGCTTTCGATGTTTAGCGTGGTAACATACGTCAATTTACTACCGAACGAAACGGCAAAGTGTTTGCTATGGAATATCTGTGAACATTGATTTAATATTTTGAATATAGGAAGCTAAAGTGCATGCACTTTGCTAATATTTTGTTTGTTTTATTCTCGGAGCCAAATATACTGATCAGGTGATGAAATATACATGCACTTCGGCCTAATACCCTTCTAAGCTGTAAGCTTCCTCTCGCTACAATTACCATAAAAACAATTCCCTCTTAAGTCAAGGCTCAGCCAGTCGCGACGCTATCTCTAGACACAATTCAGCTCGCAGTAGTGGAATACAAACACGGCTAGCTCGTTACCGCTGGAAATTAACAACGCAAAGCAGCATCACCCAAGATGGCGACTCGACAGCGTTCTCCGATCGCATTACCATCTCCTTATCTCGACCAATGCCGCCGCCGGCCGCCTACTTAGTACCCAAGCACGCTCAATTCCGGCACTGGCGGCTCGCATTTTAATCAGGCCAGCCGCCCGGCCTGACACAGTGTCAGACAGAGCCGGGTAGGTGACACCGCCGACACTCTGCTGACACCGGGACTGACACGGCGAGACTGGGCGACAGTGAAGGCCAAAAGGAACCACGTTAGATCTAAAAATATACATACTGTAATCTCATTATAAGTCGAGAAAATGAATGCAGCAAAGACTTTTCGTAAATCGTTACTCTACAATCCTCAAAAAAATCGATAAGCGTTAATCGCTAGTCGTTAAAACGTTATCAAGTTAAAGATAGACGCATCAACCGCCCGACGTTTCGCTGTATTAGCTTTCCCCAAGGGCTAGAAACATTCAGATATTGATTCTAGAGCATTTTATTTTATTTTATGGGCGCAAAATGACCTTAGCAGTCGGCGCGCCCTAAAGCCCCAATCAACAACAAGATTCTAGAGCAGCGATTTACGATAGGTCTTTGTTGCATTTAGGCTCGTATTTTCTACGCCTTTCCAATTTCATCATTATAAGTTGCATGCGAGTAAGATTTTCTCACATCATGACGTACCGGTCTCCCTCCATTTTCTATCAGTTCTGAGCCTTCCTGTGAAGCCCGCGGGCGTCGTTTTAATGATATGCCCGTAGGTGGCGCTGTTCAAATCGATAGCGACAATTTGAGTCGGAACCGGCCGACGGAGTCTCCACTCCAGTCGGAGAGAGAGCTGCTAATTTACCCGACTTCAAAGACCGGCGCCAGCTCACTCAGAGGCCGCGCTGCCTCGGGGCATCTTGGCTCCGGAGGGGACGCTAGGGCGATACGCCGGGTACCTCAGGGGACTGGGAGTCCGGTTAGGAGGATAAGAATGGTAGACATAAGCGCTCAGCAACACGGCGGCAAGCTTGTATATGTTAAATTTCCAGTATTTAGAGATAAATTTATAAACATTCAGCTGCAAGAACCTTGCTTTGTGAGGGATCAGCCAGCCAAAAGGTGGCGCATTTCATGCCGGGAAGGTAGGAAAGGAAGGGAAGGAAGGTATTTGAACCTTGAGGCTTACAAAAAAAAAAACGTGGAAAAGGTAAGACACATATAATAACCATGTTCAAACTCATGTTTGCAATGAAGCGGATGTCTCGCCTCGGCAGTGCCTTCGAGGCAGAAGACGTCGCCCAATTAACACCCGGTCCGACCGTGTGAACGCTCGGCTCGGCGGCGCGGCAAAGAGGTCCATCACCATGTAGGACATGCAACTCTCCGCCGATAGCAGCGCTCCCATTTATTACACGCAGAACACCGGTCCCGGCCCTGCTCAGATGACCGCGCCCGGGTCGCACCTGCACCGCAGCATTCCCACCTAACGACCGATACCCCACTGAGGGACTATCAGGGCGGCCGCGCGGCGCTCGCGCACACCCCGGGCCCGAGTTCCCATCGTCTCAGAAACATGTCCCCCGATCTGAACAGAGATTCACCCGGCCGCAGTACCCTCCGGGCAGTGCTGTGCATGTCCTCGTCGGTAACGACCGTCCAGACTCGTATATTCATGCCAATATCGATATTATCCCGGTCCGAAATCCACCGGCGTGTTCGGAATATGTTAAGACCGGCGGTGACTGTTGTCGTGACGGTGGCGCGGCTGCAAATCGCGGCGCAAAGTCCGGTTTTCACCGGGCCGGTGACCGGTCGGCTCCACTTTTGCAGAGTTTTAGTATGGTAATGCGCCGGGCCGACCCGTCGTTATGACCGCCGTGTCATTGAGGGACATTAACATTTTGCAGACCTGAAGTGGTCGCTGGTTCGCTGGAGGTTTTTGGGTCTGGTCAGTGACCATAGACCAATGGCGGTTGATGAACCCCAGAGGTCAGCTTGGTTGAAGGAATAACAATTAGGTACAAGGATGAAAAATATTTTTCTTTTTATGTTGGCACCTTGCATATAACATAGATCAACACTGTGACGTTGGCTGACTTATTATTGGAAGCGAGTGTAGTGTAACACGTTACATACTTGTCACGTGCATTGAATAGAAAATTATTAGTGCATGATTGGGGGGACACGAACGAGAGTGTTACAGAATACATACTTTGGAATAATGAGTTAGTGAAAGCATTATAAGCATGAAACATGGTGTCAGAAGTGAACGTAACCCAGCTCTCACGCTAAGAATAATATTAACGTAATGTTCAGACAATAGGTACTGTGAGCTTTGAGTATCTTACTACCTATTCACTGTGCAAGAATGGCAAGTAACGGGTTTGTCGGATTCCCCATTCCGCCGCCGTTGTCACTGACAGATACAGACGCGCTGACTGCAACATGGAAGACATGGCGACGCCAATGGAATAATTATAGCATCGCAACAGGACTGAATGAGAAAACGGCGGAGGTTCAAGCAGCTACCTTGCTCACATGTCTGGGATCAGAAGCGTTGAACGTTCTCGATGGACTGTGTCCAGATGAGGGAGAACAGAAGAAGGTCGACGTGGTTCTGCAAAAGTTCGAAGAATTCTGCATCGGGAAAACAAATGAGACATTCGAACGATACAAGTTCAACCTGCGTAATCAGGAAAGCAGTGAGAGTATCGATTTATATGTGGCCGAGCTGAGAAAACTAGCGAAGTCGTGCAACTATAGAGATTTGGAAGAAAGCCTGATCCGAGACAGGATAGTATTGGGGATCCCAGATGAGTCGGTTCGGCGACGCCTGCTCCAAGAACCAGATCTGACATTGGCCAAAGCTACCGCGGTTGTGAAGGCACATGAAGCTACCCAAAAACAAATGAACAGCATGACAAATCGAGAGGGTGCGGAGGTGCACAAGCTTCAGACACAAAGGAGGGACTTCCGATACAAGGAGGAGCGAGCAACGGTGCCGGATCCAAGACGGTCACAGCGAGCACAAATTACTCGCCATGGGAGATGCAAATTCTGTGGCCGCGAACACATGTTCAAAAAAGAGCTGTGTCCTGCATGGGGCCAAACATGCCAAGCTTGCGGCCGGAAAAATCATTTCTCCTCCAGATGTCACCAGGCTGAAGTGCATATGACCGCACCAGTCGAACTCGCCGAAACTGAAAACCAAACGAGTCGCGGAACAGAAAGCGTGCTGTCCCTAGATGTAGGGGCTATCTCAGATAGATCTGTGTCTGGCAAGATCTTCGCTCATCTGCTGCTGGAAAACGACCATCTACAAAAGTTTCAACTGGACACCGGTGCAACAGCCAACATCATACCTCAACATGTGTACAAAAAGGCATGTCGTGATCAAAAGATGAGGAAACTGAGACCGTGCACCACTGAACTGGTGATGTTCAACAAGAGCATCACCAAGCCCGTGGGAAAGGTGAAGATGGACGTCATGAACCCCAGGAACGGCTTAAACTACAGTGTGGAGTTCATCGTCGTGCGTGAAGACTTCAGTCCCTTGATTGGATCAAAAACGCTGCAGGAAATGCACCTCATCAGCGTGAGGACAGAAAATATCTTAACACTGGAATCACAGGAAGAGAACAAGGCTCCACAATCAAAAGAAGATGGAATTCCAAAGTCAAAAGAAGATCTACATGCTAGATACCAAGACGTCTTCACAGGCATCGGCAGACTGCCTGGAAAACTGCACATCCAAACAGACAAAACTAAACCGTCAGAGCAGTTACCAACGAGGCCTGTCCCTGAACCACTGAAAGAAGAAGTTAAAGCCGAGCTAGAACGGATGGAACGCGATGGGATTATTGAGCCCGTCTCGGAGCCCACAGAGTGGATCTCGAGCATGGTGGCGGTGCAGAAGCCAAACAAGGGAATACGAATCTGCATAGACCCGAAGCCACTCAATCGAGTGATAAAACGCAACCACTTTCCTCTGCCAACTATCGAAGACATCTTACCGGAGCTGACAAAGGCCAAAGTATTCACGGTATGTGATGCCAAGAGCGGTTATTGGCACGTGGAACTAGACGAGGAGAGCAGCTATCTGACCACCTTTGGGACACCGTGGGGCCGGTTCCGCTGGAAACGTCTGCCATTTGGCATCTGCCTAGCATCTGAAGAGTTCCAGAGGAGGTTGAATCTTGCTCTGGAGGGACTTGATGGCGTCCGTCCCATCGCAGACGACATATTAGTGTATGGAGTCGGACCAACCAGTGATGAAGCGACAAAAGACCACGATCAGAAGCTGATCTGCCTCCTGGAACGCTGCAGAAAAGTCGGAATAAAGCTGAACTTCGAAAAACTGAAACTGAGACAGAGCGAGGTCAAATACATGGGCCACATGTTCACAGCAGAAGGCCTGAAAGCGGACCCGGAAAAGATCAGTGCAGTGACCAACATGCCTCCACCAGTGGACCGAAAAGGTGTTCAGCGCATTCTTGGTCTGGTCAACTATCTGCAAAGGTTCTCACCGCGCTTAGCTGAAGTATCTGCCCCGTTGAGAGCCCTTCTAAAGAAGGAAAATCTCTTCATCTACGAAGAAAATGTCCATGGACGTGCCCTGGCAGAAATCAAACAGATCATCACGCGTGACCCTGTCCTCAAGTACTACAATGTAAACGAAGATGTTGTAGTACAGGTAGACGCGTCACACCATGGATTAGGCGCGTGTCTCATGCAAAACGAGCAGCCTGTGGCGTATGCGTCGAGATCGTTGACTGAGACAGAGAAAAACTATGCACAGATAGAGAAGGAGATGCTGGCGATAGTATACGGTCTCAACAAGTTCGAGCGGTACACTCAAGGGAAAGAAGTCACGGTGGAATCGGATCACAAGCCGTTAGAAGCTATACTCAAGAAAGAGCTGATAAAAGCACCAAAGAGACTACAGAGAATGATGCTGGGACTACAGAAATTTCAGTTCCAAGTGGTGTACAAGAAAGGCCAAGAAATGTATCTCGCGGATACATTGAGCCGCGCGCATGAAGAGTCAACCGGGTCTGACGCACCCACTGAACATGTGTGCCACGTCAGAGAGACTGCTTCGGCTGATGAATTTGAAGTGAGAGACGTGGACATCATCGAGTGGCTTCCTGTCTCAAAGATGACGAAAGAGCTGATTGTAGAAGCCACTTCGAAGGATAAGACGTTGCAAGACGTCCAGGTGATGATCAAACAGGGATGGCCTGCTGACAAGAACAGAGTGCCTGGACATCTAAGGCAGTATTATAATGTCAAGGATGAACTGACGATGAGAGACGGACTCGTTCTCAAAGGAGATAGGCTCTGCATTCCAGAGGCAGCGAAGCAGAAACTCAAAGAACGCGTGCACTCCTCTCATATAGGACTTCAAGGCTGCCTCAGGAGAGCACGAGAAGCCATTTTCTGGCCAGGGATGAACCAAGACCTCGAAAACTACATATCAAAGTGCACAACATGCATGGCCCACGGGAGCAAACAAAGAAAAGAAACGTTGAAGTCACATGAAGTACCGGAACGGCCGTGGCAGAACATAGCATGTGACTTAATGGATTTTCAAGGACACTCATACCTAGTAACAGTAGATGTTTACTCTGACTTCATCGAAGTTGATCGCCTCATCAGCAAGAGGGCAAGTGATATCGTGAGACTACTCAAGATTCAAATGGCAAGGCACGGAATTCCTGACAAGGTGATGAGTGACAATGGTCCTCCGTTCAACTCTGCAGAGTTCAAATCCTTTTCTCAGCTGTATGAGTTTAAACACGTCACCAGCTCGCCAGGCTATCCACAGTCGAATGGAAAAGCAGAGAGTGCTGTCAAAATACTGAAAAGTCTGATGATCAAAGCTCAGGAAGATAGCCGCGATCCATATCTCGCACTTCTGGACTGGCGCAACACCCCGACAGAGAGAATCGGGAGCTCACCTGCACAGCGACTCTTCGGCCGTCGGACGAAGACCCTACTTCCAACGTCATCACGACTGCTGGTGCCGGAAACTGTTCGACAGGTCCCGAGTAAGCTAGTCGACCGGCAACAGAAACAGGCAACGTACTACAACAGGACCGCTCAGGATCTGAAGCAGCTGAGTGTGGGTGACAACGTGTACATGGCGCCTGCGCCAGGGAAACACAAGTGGATTCCCGGAGTGATCACAAGCTGTCTCGGGAACCGGTCGTACCTGGTGAGGACGGATAGTGCCGGGACGTATCGCCGCAACAGGCGGCACCTTCGCCTCTTCTCACCTGGAGAGACCTGTAGTCACCCGGCAGCTGGATCATCTGACGATGATTACCTGTACATACCAGTGCCCCACATGGGCACTCGGGAGGAGCGGCCGACCCAGCCACCTCCTCTGAGCCGGTCTCCATATCAACTGAGGAGCAGGTCAAGGCTACCTTAAGCCAGAGGAGGGAAGATGTGGCTTGTCTAGGCTCATGTGACGTGGCTAAGCTCATTGACGCAGTTATTAAGAAAAAGCAGCAGACAACCACCCAGCTCCCAAGAGAGGGACTATTCTTCCGAATCGTTTCTGTACCTGCAGAAGGGGAGGTCAGATCCTCCTCAATGTCCTCGGAGGAAGGAGGATGTGACGTTGGCTGACTTATTATTGGAAGCGAGTGTAGTGTAACACGTTACATACTTGTCACGTGCATTGAATAGAAAATTATTAGTGCATGATTGGGGGGACACGAACGAGAGTGTTACAGAATACATACTTTGGAATAATGAGTTAGTGAAAGCATTATAAGCATGAAACAAACACATGAAAGCTAAGTATTGCGGGAACTTCGCGCAAAACTTGACTCTGGTTCCAAACATATGCCCGAAGTTGAAGCGTGTAAAATAAAGGTAGATGATCAGGTAACAACTCAGTCTGCTGGCGGGATGAATTAAATTTTCAACATCAACAATGTAAGTACATTGGTCGCTGATAAAGTTTTATGCAGACAACATATATTAAAATCGTTTCACTTCTCTTTCTCTTTATCCTCCACTCAATCTATATTTAATGTCATCGTTGTACCCGTTTAAATTCACATTGCAGTGATGGGGAACTCTGCTATTTCCGCCTCCATTGGCGTTACCTGAACAGTGCATTTTTATTTACAAGCGATTAGTTTTTTCCATTTGTACTGTACATTAAGCGTACATTAATTTCTAATCGAACTCCCAGCTCTTTTTATTCTTGATTCTAAAGAAATGTAGGTACCCACTACCCATATAAGGGCCATTTATCTGGCGGCATGAAGAGATTGGTTAGAAAAAAATGAGTGAAAATAAAGTCTGTATGCGCCAGAAAGCAGCATAAAGCTGCAATGAAGACACTGTAGCTCATTTGATCAACTTCGAAACAACTCTTCTAAGCCGCTGAGTTACGTGGGAGAGGTGGCTTTAGGCAAGCTCGCATCTAATCTTACCCTCATTTTGAAAACAGTGGGACATCGATTATAGCCGTTGGCTGGTCATGACTTACCCACCTCACATCTCCCACCCCCGCGAACCGCTCTGGGTGCGGCGTCACGGTGTCCCACATCACCACCATTAGCCGTGACGTCAGATCGCCCACCTGTCCTGACAGACATCAGTCCGTGAGGACGTCTCACATCATCACCATCAACCGTGACGTCACATCGCCCATCGACTGACATCAGTCCGCCCGGGGCCGATTTCCTCTCGATTCCTGTGGCCTATCGTACGAAGCAGGCCGGTGACAGAGAGGGCCGGTCTCCGATCCCGACATCGAGCATACCATTAGCCCGGCCACCGCACATTAAGGCAGTCGGTAAATAACAAACCAGGCCGTGGCGCGGCGCATTCGGCGACAGTGGCCTTTACGATCCGGCCGGCCCGCGATGGATGACGCCGGCTGCTCGCTGAATACGGCCCTGTCAAACACTGCTAACGGGCCCGCTCAGCTTGTAATGGAGGAATTCATCGAACTGACCGGTCGGCGGCGGCACCGAGCACCGGTCAGCGACTCGGCGCCGCCCCCGGCATGCAGTTTTGGCAGACAGAAATCGGACCACGTCCGGAATGAGCCCGTGGTGCACTCAGCACGGATCCCCGCCGGCGCAGAGTCAGCCAGGAATCTCTCGTGATTGGCTCGTATGCCTAATGGCGGCCATTTTGAGCGGGATTTCCGGGTTTGTGATGGGCGGATTACTTTTAATGCACGGCGCGGTCATTGTACTCGGCTTGATTTGAATATTTGGCCTGTCTTACATTGCATGACAGACAATTACCATAACTGTGATATACGGCTGGTTATTCGATGAACAGGCCGCTGGTATCGCGAAGAATACGTTATGGGACCACCAAGCTCTTAATGATAACGACTGCTCAAATATTTTATCAACATCTTGTGCTTCGTAAAAACGACCAGTGTTATAGAGAATGCGGAGGCAAGTGATTGCTTCAACTTCACAACATTTACGTAATTGTTGCGTTTATTCAATCTTTCGTTCATTCAAGGAGCTCAAAGTGTGCGTATCGTACGCCATTAGCTCGAATAGGCGAAACCATTGGACAGGTTCCTGTTCTTGTTAGAATAACTATTAGTTAAATCTTGCATATTTTTGTGATAGGTTACATTGCTTTGTTATTCCACCCTAAGGGCAAGGCTTAATGGAAAGCAACATGAATGCACACACTCAGTGAAAATAAAGTTCAGTGAGCTATCCAACAAACGATGAGTTGAATTCTCTGGAGAGCCGCACAACCATGTCAGATTTAATATCCACTGTGTATGCGGGTCAATATACGCACCCTCAATGGCCCGCACATATGCAAATGGCGGCATCCCATTACAGTTCGTATTTGTCGCGTGCGTTGCAGACACCGACCGGCCTCCATCGGACGGCGTCTCCGGAGAGGCCGACACCACCACATCACGGCTGAAGTATCGGGTCGGCCGGTCTGCCGGCGTCCAACAAGCCAATAAACATCACAGATCCGGTAGTTATGGCTGAGATAATCCGACGGCGCCGCGGAGCCGCCGCGCTGCTCTCGGCCTGATCTGCATCTGAGGCCGCCGCCCCCCCCCCCCCCCCAGGACCGTCTGTTGGACCCCCTGAACCAGCGCAGTGCACCGGGCGCCACCGAAACTAATGGACACCCGCGACGGCCGGGCGGAATGAAATGCAGCCGGAATGGAGGCGGCATTTGGTGGAATGAGGCCGGCCGGCCACTCTGCTTTTAATTGACTCCGAAAATTCCGTCGAAACTCAATGCTACCCCTCACATAGTGATTGTGTTTTAACTACTGATTTCAGAATCGACATCAACTGCATTTAGCAACCTTCTTCACCGTGTATCCCTCAAAAAAAAAAAAAAATCAACCGTGGGTCTACAAACTGTCTCGAGGGGTCCGTCATCCATCTGATGATCTTCGGATATCCAATGTGTCTGTCCAAGGCGTCCAACATTCACATCCCTTCACATCCTAAATCTCCCTTTCCTTAGGAACAAACCCAGCCGCACCCCTGCTCGCTCAGCTCGAGCTGTTCTTGGCTGAGGATACATCCTCCCCCGCATGATGTAGCAGCCAGACGAGGAAGGGACAGGGGGTCAGAGTTCGTGACCCGCCATAAACGTCCGGGCCACAACTGATTTACCGTCGACTAAATGTTTTCATATGTGAAAATGTGCCCGGCTGCATCGCATGCAGAGTTTGTAAATGACTGCGGCCTGTGGCGTGTGTCAGGTCATTGTGAAAAAGATCACCTCTCCCGACAGTCTGAGAGACCACTGGACGGTCTATGTGAGATCATAGGATGATCGGAGGGAGACCTTCGGACGGAAGACCACCCGACGGTTTAAAGGAGACCACAGAATGGTCTGAAGGAGACCATCGCTCTGTTTGAGGGATCTCATAGGTTGGTATGAGTGAGACAACCTGATGAGACCTGTCTGACAGAGATCCTCCGCCAGTGATGACGGGTTTAGTGTGATGTTTGGCGCGCAATCAATGTCGGATAAACTGTTGTGTATGCACGGGAGCATAAATGGAGGATGCCAAGAGATGGGCGATTGAGCGTAAGCTTTAAACCGAATCTTGCGTACTTCCATACCGCTCCTCATTTGTTTCACCCAGCACTGATGTTGGTGCTTATAATGTCGTTGATTCTTGATCGATATGTTGCTAAGCCGCGTCCTATTTCAACCATCCGGGCAAATAGTGATCAGTGAACGTAAGCAGTGCCTGACAGCACAGATTCGCTGTCAGATATGGACAACATTTTATAAAATTTGGAATTAAAATGTCCGTCACAGTGTGCTGCAGTTATTACTTGGACAGGCTCCGTCCTATCATTGAATATTGCCAGAGCAAACTTTTCATCACTGGCGATTACCCCGATGAAAATTCGCTGGGCTCCCGTTCGCAAGGGATAAGTCAGTTGAATTTTCGAATTCCTATCACCTATAGGCTATATTGCCATATTGGTAGGACATGGATAATGGATATAAATATAAGCCCACGCTGGGACATGCCGACTGCCTTTTTTACGTAATCCGTCGAACGGATCTTCTTCCCTTGTGGTCACCACAAACCAGTTCTAAACATCATTAATTTCGCTGAAGGCCAAACGCTGCTCAAAAACGCTACTGTGCACTGGCGACAATTTGCATTTGTCTTCGATCCTGCATACTAAATAGCCGGACAGAGCGTGCTGCGCACATTCACCGATCCAAATCGTTTGATCTCGGCGCGCCTATACCGCCGCGACAATGCCGGCGCGCCGTCAGCGCTCCTGCGGCAGTCCTGGCGCACCAAGCCGGCTGATCTGGCGGCGGTAATGGCGCAGGTGACAGCCGACTGCTGAGGTTATTGCAGGTCATACCTAGCCATGCCTAGCATAGAGCAAACATTGCCTGCTTCATGGATTAGAAGTCATTGCTATATATGTAGTTCGTAGTAAGGAGGATATCGGAACAACTGCCTAAATCTCGATTCTTGCTACGATTTAGCTGAAGAGGATAAGCTGCCTATCAAGACAAATTCTGGTGGAATAAAACCAAATAACATTTTTTTTAGCCAGTACAAATAAGGTACGGGGTAACGGGTTACCATATTCAAGCACTACTAAAGCAGACTAGAAAGATCATTAAGTTTGTATCTTAGGACAAGGTTCCTACTCGTAAGTATGGCTGCAACACTAGTGGAAATATGTTGACTGATTTTTCGTTTCCACCGATCTGATGAGTACTGGTCACAGTCGGGACGGTTTCCCCCGACAGCCCGCCAACGGGACACTTTGGGCGGCCGTCACCCCAGCCGACCGCGCAGAGCTGCCACTTTCTGACAGGTGCGCACATAGAGCTGCTGTATTGTGACGGGCCACGCGTGCTGCCGGTCGGTGGCCGCCGGTTTTTATAGGGCGCCGGCACACACGGAGGCACGCGCGACGGGACCAGACGGGACCGGAGACGGTAGACGCTGCGCCGGTGTTTCCGGCGCTGTGCCACAACACAATGCGACCCAGAGTGAGGCGATTCACGCCAGCT